CTACAGTGTTGACTTAATTCTTGCAATGTTGAATTGACCACACAAGCCCCCACACAAGTACATCATATTATTGGCTACCTTTGACCTGTGGGCTCTTATCAGTAAACCTATGGAGCCACTCATGGGTCTATTAATCACCACTGCATGAAAGATGGCAGTAAAAAAGAAAGTGTCCTCATACAGTTGCATTCTGGGTTTTATGTAAATGAGTGTTAGTACTGAATGAATTCTGATATTCCATGAATTATTAAGGTGTTGGATTACCAGCTACAGTGTTGACTTTATACCTACAGTGTTAAATGAAGTCCTGTAGCGTTTTATTAACACCTACAGTGTTGAATCAACGATTGCAGTGTTAAATTAACAACTCTTAGTGTTGCTGGATTCAGGGCTGCAACAAATGACTAATTTGATAGTCGATTAATCGATCGATTACTGAAACGAATAATCGATTGTTTGGATCATTACATTACCAAATAACTTTTATGTAGCTATTAACTTTTAAATTTAGCTTGAGGCTGTTTTATTTACTAACAATGAAGACAATAAAGATGAATACCTTTTAAAAAAATCACCGTTTTAATGAATTTTCCTGCCAAGACAGAAGATTAAAAAATTAAACTCCAATGTGTTTTTCCTGTCAAAATTTATTACCAAGGATGTGCAAAGTAGCAGCAAGAAAACAGAACAAAACCAAATCAGTTTTCCTTTAATCAGATGAATAAAAGTCAATCTAAATCTAAACGTTAACTGTAAACAGTGCAGTCTGTGCTCTGTGCTCTGCTGTCTGTCCAAACTCTGCTGAAACTAAACTCTACAGTCTCAGGTCTTTACTGAACCGGAGGGACGTCAGCGTCTCTGGGCTCCTGTGAGAGGCCTGATCTCCTCTGAGAGCGGACACTCCGCTGTAGAGGAGACGCTCTGATGGAGGGGAAACTGGAGAATGTTTGTGGAAAGCTTCTTTATGAACAGTTAAATATGAACGGTTTTAGTCTAAACGCTTCATTTCAGCGGTCACCCTTCGTCCAGCTGCCCTGTGTGTCCGCTGAGAACTACCTCCTGAAACCGTTAGCGAGTGGGGCCAAGCGTTCGCGGAGAGCAGAGACCTGTTTGCAGTCGCTCTCCCATGTTCGGCGAATCTGAACGCACCGGCAGCCTCGATATCTGGAAAGTGAACAGAGTCACTGTGATTAACAGTTTCTTGCTCCTCTGTTCCAACTCCGTTACCGATTCCAGAGAAAATGCATTTCGGAATAGAAGAAGTTCCAGCTCAGCTCAGAGCATGAAGTAGGACGGAATTTAGCATTAGCTATCTAGCTCACTAGCACAACTATCGCCGCGTCCCAAACCACACACTTCTGTACTTCACACACTGCACTAATGAGTGCACCTCTCATGGTATATGCGCTATTGTTACACACTATTTAGTGAGCTAGTATGCGGTTTGGGACGCGGCGTATCTTACCGAGCTGAATCTTCTTCATCCAGTGAGCCGAGTTTCCTCTTCAGACGCTCCAGCGTGGGGGAGGAGCTCCCATAGCCAGCTAAGGCTTTACAGACAGCACAGCTACAACCTTTTCACTGAGTTTAGCTCCACACCTTTAGGATTCTGTTCTCGAGGCTGCCGTCGCGCTGCTGCTAACTCTCCAGTGAGCGGTAATGTCAGAACGTTCCTAGTGAGTGTGAGAAAGACGTGTAATGACGTCACCAACTAATCGACTACTAAATTAGTTGCCAACTAATTTGGTCGTCAATTTTAGTCGACTAAGTCAAATAATCGTTGCACCCCTAGTTGGATTAGCAGCACTCTGTGGTGTTGAAGTAACACCTAAAGTGTTGAATGAACTCTTACAGTGTTATATTAACACCTACAGTGTTTATTTAATACCTACAGTGTTGAATGAACTCTTACAGTGTTATATTAACACCTACAGTGTTTATTTAATACCTACAATGTTGAATGAACTCTTACAGTGTTGGATTAACACCTACAGTGTTTATTTAATACCTACAGTGTTGAATGAACTCTCAGTGTTATATTAACACCTAGTGTTTATTTAATACCCAGTGTTGAATGAACTCTTACAATGTTGGATTAATACCTACAGTGTTTATTTAATACCTAGTGTTGGATGAACTCTGTGTTGTATTAACACCTACAGTGTCTAATACCTACAGTGTTGAATGAACTCTTAGTGTTGTATTAACACCTGCAGTGTTTATTTAATACCTAGTGTTAAATGAACTCTTAGTGTTGTATTAACACCTACAGTGTTTATTTAAAACCTAGTGTTCAATGAACTCTTAGTGTTGTATTAACACCTACAGTGTTTATTTAAAACCTAGTGTTGAATGAACTCTTAGTGTTGTATTAACACCTACAGTGTTTATTTAATACCTACAGTGTTGAATGAACTCTTACAGTGTTAATACCTACAGTGTTTATTTAATACCTACAGTGTTGAATGAACTCTGGCAGTGTTGGATTGACACCTACAGTGTTTATTTAATACCTACAGTGTTGAATGAACTCTGGCAGTGTTGGATTGACACCTACAGTGTTGGCTTAATTCTTGCAATGTTGAACTGACGATGCCCCCACATGACTGCTTCATATTATTGGCTACCTTTGACCTGTGGGCTCTTATCAGTGAACCTATGGAGACACTGGGTCTATTAAATGCAAAAGACAGCTGTAAAAAAATGAAAGTGTCCTCAAACAGCCACATTTCTAATTTTAATTAACTACTGTTTAAATGTTAGTGTTGAATGAATTCTGCGGTACTGCATTAACTCTTGTGGTGTTGGATTAACACCTGCAGTGTTGAATTAGCTCTTGTGGTGTTGGATTAACACCTGCAGTGTTGAATTAACTCTTGTGATGTTGGATTAACACCTGCAGTGTTGAATTAACTCTTGTGGTGTTGGATTAACACCTGCAGTGTTGAATAAACCCTTGTAGTGTTGCGTTTGCACATACAGTGTTGAATTAACTCTTGTAGGGTTGGATTAACAACTCTTAGTGTTGTTGGATTAGCATCGCTCTGTAGTGTTAAAATAACTCCTACAGTGTTTATTTAACACCTACATTGTTGAATGAACTCTTGCAGTGTTGGATTAACACCTACAGTGTTGAATGAACTCTTGCAGTGTTGGATTAACACCTACAGTGTTGAATGAACTCTTGCAGTGTTGAACTGACAATTCAATCCCTCACATGACTGCTTCATATTATTGGCTACTTATTGCTTCGACCTGTGGGCTCTTATCTGTAAACCTATGGAGCCACTCATGGGTCTATTAATCACCACTGTGCAAAAGACAAAAAAATGAAAAAATGAAAGTGTCCTCATTCAGTCGCATTCTGAGTTTTAATTGAATTCCCTGTTTAAATGTTAGTGTTGAATGAATTCTGCAGTACTGCATTAACTCCTGTGTTGGATTAACACCTACACTGCTGAATTAACTCTTGCAGTGTTGGACTGACACCTGCAGCGTTTATTTGATACCTACAGTGTTGAATTAAATGTTCCAAAGCTGAATTGACCATACAAGCCCCCAACTACTTCATATTATTGACCAACTTATTTGTAGACCTATAGAACGAACCATGTGTCTGTTAATTATCACTATACAAGAGATAGCAGCAAAAAAAAGTGTCCTCATACAGTTACATTCCTAGTTTTAAGTGAATAACCTGTTTAAATGTTTGAGTTGAATTAATTCTATGGTATTGCATTAACTGGTGTTGGATTAACACCTACAGTGTTCAGTTAACTCTTGCAGCATTGGATTAAGACCTATAGTGTTAAATTAACTCTTACAGTGTTGGATTAAGGCCTATAGTGTTAAATTAACTCTTACAGTGTTGGATTAAGACCTATAGTGTTAAATTAACTCTTACAGTGTTGGATTAAGGCCCATAGTGTTAAATTAACTCTTACAGTGTTGGATTAACTGCTCTTAGTTTTATTATATTAAGAAATATGTAGTGTTGAATTAATACATATAGGGCAAAATTAACTCTTGCAGGGTGGATTAACACCCACAGTGTTGGATTAATTCTTGCAATGTTGAATTGACCACACAAGCCCCCACACAACTACACCATATTATTGGCTACCTTTGACCTGTGGGCTCTTATCTGTAAACCTATGGAGCCACTCATGGGTCTATTAATCACCACTGTGCAAAAGATGGCAGTGAAAATAGAAAGTGTCCTCATTCAGTCGCATTCTGAGTTTTATGTGAATGAGTGCTAGTGTTGAATGTAATCTATGATACTGCATTAATTTATGGTGCTGGATTAACACCTACAGTGTTTATTTAATGCCTACAGTGTTGAATCAACTCTTGCAGTGTTGGAATAACAACAATCTATAGTGTTAACACCTATAGTGCTAAATTAACTCTTTCAGGATTAACACATACAGTGTTTGTTTAACGCTTGCAGTGTTGGGTTAAAAAGTGTAGTGTTGAATTAACGCTTGCATTGTTGGATCGACATATACAGTGCTAAATTATCTCTTGCATTGTGGGATTAACACCTACAGTGTCGAATGAACTCTTGCAGTGTTGGATTAACAGCTCTTAGTGTCGTTGGATTAACAACACTGTACAGCGTTGCATTAACACCTATGGTGCTAAATTAATTTGCAGTGTTGGATTAACACTGGCAGTGTTGAAATAACTCTTACAATGTTGGATTAACACCTACAGTGCTAGATTAACTGCTATAACATTGCATTAGAATGCTACAGTTTTCCAGTAACTGTTACAGGGTTGGATTAACACTTACAATGTCCAATGTCAGCTCCTACAGCACTGGTTTAATACCTGGCGCTGAAGACCTAAAATGTATGTAAAAATCCAGTGGAAGCCCAAATGACCACTGTACCCAGATGTTCATTCAACACAGTGGGTTTCAGTTCCACAGTGGAGGGCTGGCTGTGACGGATATTAGCCACAGTGGAAATTTACTGTAGTTACAGAAGAGCACATTTCAAAGAGCAGCAGATTTACTGTACAAACTGAATAAAACCCAAAGTCAGTTTAGGAAACAATGGAGTTACATTACACAAGTTTGCCATTCGGGAGACAAGATGATTGTAAAAAAGTTAAATTATTTCAGAGAATTGACTGAAGTTGAGGGCCATAATCGAAGTGCATCATCTGTAGGAAATGTTTAGTCTGAAAATGTGGGTGCAGATGTCAGTGAGCTGTAAATCAGATTAGTTCATCAAATTAAGCATTTTTTATATTTTTTTCTGTATTTCTTGAACTTATTAACAGGCTTTTTTGCATTTTATCAAAAAAAAAAAAGTTAACTCATCCACAAAACACCACTAGATGGCAGTATAGCACAACTAACAAAGCCTGAGCAATGGAAATGACAGTCATCTTTAAGGCTTCTGAAATATCAGCAAAGATTATTTACACACAGTATTAACATCATATCATCAGTGTAAACACGATACGGAGAAAAGTACAACATTTAAGCTTCTATAGTGCAAATTAATCATGCTTAGTTCAGAAATGATGCAGAACTGCTTCCAGTAAAATGGAGAACCGTTCCATTGTGGTGAGTAAAGAACGCAGATGATCAAGTTTCCATAGTTACCAGTATGTATACAGTTCAGTGGGGCTGTAACAGTTCATTTACTGAACTTGATTACACTCAAAATCATCAACTGAAATTGACCCTTCAATGAATAAACAGTGATTAGTTGGCAGTTTGCATTACGATAATGCATATTTTAAGCTCTCCTATGGCCACTGATCCCTTTTATAAAGAGCAAGATGGACACCGCTATGGAAAACACACGGGAAAATAAAAAAATACTTAAATAAATAATTTTTGGAAATGTTTCAACACCGCAATGTTTGGGTGCCACACGTTTGCATATGATATCAAAATATCAGGCTAATATAAGCTTATTTTACCCCAGAAATCAGGCGGAATGGTGGCTATTTCAGCGGAATGATCCTGCACCTCCAATCATTCAGTTGTGGATAATTTGAGACTTTTTTCATAGCTTGTATTAATATTGTTTAAAAACATTTCTTTCTTATTTTTAAGCCAATTATTTCTGTCAAAGTGCCATCGCCAGCCCACTACAGACCACTGGCTCCCTCTCCTTGATCACCAGAGGGTCCAAGTGGTTGAAAAACCCTGCCATACACTTCACCCTGCTTATCCCAGCCACATGAGGGCGCTACAAAGCAATAAACTGCTTTTACTGAGAAAAAGACAACGTGCAAATCAAACAAAGAAAGCTGGAGAAGCAAACTAACTTTAAGACTGAACTTTGGAGGTGTGGAAAAATATCCCTCCCAAAAAGAATGGAAGCTGTAATAAAGGCAAAGAGTGAACAGACTAAATGCTGAAACAATGGGATGTTATGTTTAGTTGTTGAGGTGCTGAGTAATTTATGTGTTTTCTGCTTTTTACTGACACTTAACAATGAATACCTTGACTGGAAATTAAATAAAATAAGTGCTCAGTTCTCTAGATTTGAGCTCATATCGGGTAATATTGACGAAGACCATGTCATCCTCTGAGCACCAAGTAGTGCAAAATATGCATTGTAGAACCATCAGCATTTCTTTACCTACAACTCTGTATTCCGACTAAGTGTGAAACACCTAGTTTTATGAAGAAAATGAAAAAATTAATATGAACAGATCGACAGATTGGCCTTTTAAGTGCACTTAGAAATGTAACCCCACCCTCAGAACATGCAGGTCTTTTATCACTGCAGAAAGAACACTGTTAGCATATTCCCTGTTTTGTCAATACAAGCAACAACTCACTGATTTAGCTGATTCTCTCGCAAGCCAGCAAACAGTGAGGTTGGTAGATCACTCTGTAACTCACTAGTAACTCAAAAACCCTTAACCATGCTAGCCACGCAACTGCCAAGGAGGGGTTTCAGTCACTAAAGGCAACCGTACGGCCTGCTAACAGGCTTTAGCCGACCCTGTTGCTGGAGTTTAATGCTATCATCAGTTTCTGGTGGAATGCGACAATGCGTTCCTTCTGCAAGGGCCAGTGGACAATGCAGCGTGACTTTAGCATGCTTCGCCGTATCAGGAGAGACCGGCTCAGGCGATAGTCAGTGACGTCCTGAAGGAAAATTAGGACCAGGGAGTCTCGACTGTCTTCCATCAGCTGGTGCAGTGCATGGTGGGCTTTAAACCTAAGGAATGAGCAAGAGACAGGAGGTAAGCTTTGAGCCAATACCACTGACAAAGTGAAAGTAATTCATAATTAGCATCCTGTGTGCCGCATTATTACACTGTTACAAGAAAGATCTACTTGCTTGAGTAATCTGCTAAAGTGAATGTCTGTTTTGGTGAATATACAAGGAAGGAACATCTCTAGAGGAAGTGGACCTAAAGGAAGTGGCTACTGGCTTGTGGTCAAATTTGATCTGACGTCTTTCGGTTCTGCTCTTTCACTTTCCATGAAAATGTCATGCGGCGCTTGTGGTATTCTTAGACTTACTGTCTGCACCAGGGATCCTCCAAAAGTGCCTCTGTGACAACAAAAATGATCTTCCTTGACCTCCTTATGTTGTCAACAATGGTCTCCACCATGGAATAGCCTGGCACTGCATTGCGATCTTCCAAGAAAAAGCTCAGATTATCACCCTCTAAGGGAAGCAAGCTTCGTTCCACCCAGGCTTTGTCATCAGGAGCATGGATAACATAGGCATCATGTTCATATCTGTCTTCCGATAACCTTTTATATCTAGAGCCCTTCATACCTAGGGTGCGATTAATTAGGATGTTCCAGTAGAACTGAATCCTCCAGCCCTGAAAGTGTACCAGGAAGGCTATAACCATCAGACCAAGTACCAGAGTGCTGCTGAGCACATACAAGGCTTGGAAGAGAGTCAGGTTCTTGCAGGAGTCTGTCTCAAAGTATATCACAGAGCGGTTGAAGTAAGCCGGCGGAGTGTTGCAGATATAACCTTGTGCACGCACAGGGACGCTGGTGTTGGTGGTGTTAAGCCACTCGGAGAACCACTGGATGCTGTCACAGGTGCAGTCGAAGGGGTTGTGCTCCATGTGAAGCTCAGTCAGGTTGGACAGCGGCACGCCGAATGTCTCCATGGGCACCGACGTCAAAAGGTTCTTCTGCATCCGTAGGTAGCGCAAGGACTGCAAGTCATCAAATATGGAGCTCTGCAGGAAGTTCAGAAGATTCCCGCTAAGACTGAGTTCCTTTAGCTGGAAAAGGCCTCGCAAGGCTCTGAGTGGAATCTCATCCAGACCGTTATAATCCAGCTCTAGAACAGAGAGATTCTGAGTGTCCCTGAGGAACAGCACTGGACCCCCAGGGTAAGCGTTCTTCCACACTCTAGCCAGGTTGTTGTGCTGCATTCTCAACACCTTGAGATTGTGCAGTCCTTCCAGCAAGCCTCTGTTGATGTTTGCAATGTTATTATTGCTGAGATCCAGCACTGTGAGGTTGGTCAGCGGTCTGAATGGAGACGGTTCCATGTCTAGAGTTCCAGTCAATGCACGATTTAATGTTAGTATCCTCAACGTGGGCACATAGATGAAGGATGTGGGGGTTAAGCTGATCTTCTGCTGGTTGGAAGACAAGTAAATTTCCTCCACACTGTTGAGGCCCTGGAACTCCCCCCCAATTAGTTCCTGTGAGATAAAGTTGTACCTGAGCACAAGAGTGGTGAGGTTTCCAAGGCTTGAGAAAGCTCCACGTTCTAGCTTTGTGATCCCCGTTCCTGTCAGATTGAGCATCTGGAAGAACGGAGATCCATGCAAGGATGCAAAGGTGGTGTTGTCGACGGTCTTCAAACCTGTTTTGCTCCAGCTCAGGTCCAACTTTCTCAAAGATGGAAGTCCATAAAACATATTCTCACCGATCCTGCTAAAGGAAGTTTCCTTCATGAACAGATATTCCAGTTTGACCAGCGGCTGAAAAGAGAAGTCGTCTATTGTCGGGTAGTGAGACGTCTTGGTTTTAACAAGTGCCTTTTGTAAGTTGAGTTTGATCAGACTTTTCAGTCCTATGAAGGTACCTTTGGTCAGACTCTTTATATTGTTGTTCTCTAAAGAAAGGGACTCCAGCAGAGGAAGCCACTGAAAGGAGCCCTCAGCGATTCCGGCTATTTTGTTGTTGGAGAGGTCCAGTATGGTGAGGTTAGTCCTGGCCAAGCCTTGGAAGGTGCTGTTTATGAGCGTAGTTTGCTGAGTGTTGCGGAGCGAGAGGTTTCTCAAAGGCATGTCTGACAGCTCTTTGCACAGTTTGGTAAGGAACTGAGGGCTGAGGTTGCAGCCGTCCAACACCAGGTCTCGGAGTCCAGCGATGGGCTTGAAGCAGCCACTTTCCACCTGGAATGGTAAAAGAAACACTAGATTAGGGCTATGATAGGCCTGAATGCCTGATCCAGATTGTGTCTTAAGGTCATCTAGAGCTAGCCTTTTCCATATTCCATGTAAGAAACTTAAAAAGAGCCGTGAAGATTTTTATTACTGAATTTATAAAACAACTAAATACTTCACTTTTTACATACGCTCTTATTTTTCCTTATTTTTAAAAGCATGTTACTTTTGCACTATATTAATTGTCCTTTTATGAATTTTGGTCATGGTTTTTTCTTCTTTGTATGCCTTTAATTTATTTGATGTATTTTTTTTCCCTGTTGTTTTTTCACCTTGTACTGTAAAGTGCTTTGAGCAGCATTTTAAATATATGAAAGATGCTATATAAATAAAATGTATTATTATTATTTGTAGTGCAATTATACTATTTATGCATAGCAAAATATAATTACTCTGAAATACAACTAACCAATATTAAACAATAATAATACATTATTACTGTAAAATAAAACAGATTAAGAATATTTTAAAAGATTATACATAGTAATTACAAAAATAGGCATTGAATCTGTTGAATCTATTTCCGTAGACATTTTACTAACCAATTATTTGATTTATTCAGTCTATAGATTACATCAATATATATTGATTTACTTCACTGTACATTATACTAAGCAAGCAAGGATTTGATCTATTGGATCTACATTTTATATGGAGCAAGAATCTGAGCTACTGGATGTATTTCCTTACGTATTATTCTGACCAATGGTTTGATCTACTTGGAATCTATTTCAGTTTACACTGTACCCACCAATAATTTCATCTATTGGATCAAATTTATTATACAATATACCAACCAATGATTTAGGCTACTGGATCTGTTTCATTATACACTCCTTATGCACTTTATTAGGAACACCAGTGCACCCACTCATTCATCCATTTATCTAATCGCCAGTCATGTGGCTGCAGCGTAGTGCATATAATCATGCAGATATGGGCAGCAGCTTCAGGTAATGTTCACATCCACCATCAGAATGGAGAAAAATATGATCTTAGTGTTTTTGACTGTGGCATGACTGTTGGTGCCAGACGGGCTGGTTTGAGAATTTCTATACCTCCTGGGATTAGAGACACAACAGTCTCTAAAGCCACTCAGAATGGAGGAATAAAGAAAAAACATCCAATGAGCAGCTGTTCTGTTGATGAGAGAGGTCAGTGGAGAATGGCCAGACTGGTTCTAGCTGACAGGAAGGCTAAGATAACTCAGATAACTACTCTACAATTGTGGTGAGCAGAAAAGCTTCTCAGAGTACACAGCACACCGAGCTTTGGGGTGGATGGGCTACAACAGCAGAAGACCACGCCAGGTTCCACTTCTGTCAGCCACGAACAAAAAGCTGAGGCTACAGTGGACAGAGGCTCACCAACACTGGACAGCTGAAGACTGAAAAACATAGCCTGGTCTAATGAATTGGGATTTCTGCTGAGGCTCACAGACGGTAGGGCCAGAATTTGGCACCAACAGCATGAATCCATGGACCCAACCTGCCTTGTGTCAGGCTGGTGGAGGTGGTGTAATGGGGTGGGGATGTTTTCTTGGCACACTTTGGGCCGTTAATACCGATCAATCATCGCTTGATTACCACAGTCTGTTAGTGTGTTACTCCTGACCATGTTCATCCCTTCATGGCCACAGTTTACCATCTTCTAATGGCTACTTCCAGCATGATGATGCACCATGTCACACAGCAGAAGTAGCTCAAACTGGTTTCATGAACATGACAGAGAGTTCAGTGTTCTTCAGTGGCATTTACAGACACTGGAATGAATCCAATAGAACTCCTTTAGGATGTGGTAGAACTGGAGAATTACTGCATGAAAGTGCAGCTGAAAAATCTGCAGGAATTGTATGACGATCACGTCAACATGGCCCAGAAAGTTTCCAACATCTTGTGGAATCAATGCCACAAAGAACTTAAGCTGTTTTGAGAGCAAAGGGAGGAACTACCCAGTATCAGTATAGGGTTCCTAATAAAGTGCTCGTTAACTGTATATGATACTAACCAATGATTCGATCTACAGCTGGTCATTAAAAAACTGTCCATTACATTCTGGTTCCATGGACTCTGTCATATTCACCCAGAGCAGCTCAGTAAAACCCAATAAAGATAAAGTGAACAACTAAAACCTTCTGTAGATTTAATATGATACATTTAAATATAGTTTCAAAGGTCTCTTCAATCTGAAGTTCAAGCTCAAACCGGGTCACTGGAGCAGCCTTTCTCCTGGACTGATCAGAGGTGCGGTCAACCTTTATGGCAGGATATATAACTCTTTTATTGAACTCTTCAGTCCAAATGGTGCCCAGTAACACCTGCTATCACTGGAGTAAAGGCAAATATTATCTTTAATGTCCAAACGTGCATGTTTAGATTACAGCAGAAAAGCTGGTGATGGTCCATGTTATGGTAATAAGTACAAGTATCCAGTTCCTTTTCAGTGTGCTCTCCCGGTTCCCCTTTAGATGACGTTGAGAAATCAAAGTGCTACTAGCACGAGCAATAATGAATCATCTGCCCATGAGAAAAATATTATACCATAAACATTTCCTCTATTTCTGCATATTAGTCAGGTCTAAACGGTTTCAGGTCCTCAATCAAGATGTAATAAGACAAGGAGAACATGAAGAAACACAAAACATAGTTTAACTGGTCAGTACATTTATTAAAGTAAAATATGTTTTGTCACATCCATGTGAAAAAGTAACTGCCCTCTAAACTTAATAACTGGTTGTGCCACCTGTTGCCACAGTAAGATATTCTCATAGGGGAATGCTGTGTTGGCTTCACGCCAGATGTAATTCCACAATCCAAAAAAAATCCAAGATCAGTCCACAAAACAAAACAGCTCTGGCAAATGTGAGACGAGCCTTTGTGTTAGCAGTGGTTTTCACCTTAAAACTCCTCCAAAACGACCTGAGGAAAGGAGACGCCATTCTTCCCACTCTCTATCTAATCATGAACACTGATCTGATCTGATGCATGCCAGGCCTGCAGTTCCTCGCTGTGCTACTGGAGGAATTTTGGCACACACTGGCCTCTTCAAGAAAATTCAGCACTGCACCAAATTTTCCCCATTTGGAGATAATGGCTCTTACTGTGGTTCGCTGGAGTCCCAGAGCCTTTGAAATGGGTTTGTAACCCTTTAAAGCAGGGGGAATGCAACGGGGCCTAAACCTGACCAAACCTGACGGGAGCAGTCGGGTCCCGTCGGGTTCAGACAAACATTTCAAGCTTTACTTACAATAAACTAAGACTGAAGGCTAAAATTTATGGAAGCTAATTATTTTGTGTAACTGGTTACAGCTCAGCTTTTCATTATGGCAAATTATGTTTTTGCATATCGGTTTTATTTCAGTTTAATATCTTTTTTGCACTAAATATTTATTGCTACTGTGTTTTTTTTTCATATTTACATGTAGCGTGCTGATGCACTCACTCAAACAAACACCCACGAATAACAGGTCAAATATAATAATCATTAACTGTGTGTGACTTCCTTTCAGAGTCGAGGTTGAAAGTACTAAAGGTACTATGAAATAAACTGATCTGTCAACTTCAAGCTTTATAGTCATGGCCATATTACAGGGGGATCCCACAAAGTTTTCAAAGTTTCTGCATAATTAAATGGTTAAGATGTAAAAAAGTCACTCAGAGTGGTTTGATGTAAAATAATCCATTCTAGAGAAACTTACCAAGTCACAGTGGTGGTGAGAGGAACCAGACCTGAAGAGCTTAAAGCCCCTAAAAGCTCCATCACAGACTGTTAGTACACTAAATGCTAACAGATGCACTGTTTTACAACAGTTTTATGAAGGTTTTGGCATAAAATATTCATTTTTTAAACCCGTTTATGCCAGAGAGAAACACAGTGCATTCCGAGGCCAAACAGTCCCCAAAGGAAACTTATTACTGCAGGTTTATTAGCAGTATGTAGGTTCAGTGGTGGGTTTGGATGGTAAATAAAATGGCTATATATCGTATATTGTATATATTGTATATAGCGTATATGTATATTGTATTGCAGACATGGCGACGCCTGTAAACAAACGTGTCTACAATGAACAATTTCACATCAAACCACTCTGAATTACTTTTTTAACATCTCAAAGACTGAATCATGCAGAAATTCTGAAAAACATTTCTCTTCAAAGTACATGTATTTACGGAAAAGATCTGGGTGACTATTGACTTCTAGTGTTAGCGATATTCACCCTCACGGCTCCAGCTCTAAACTAAAAAAGCTAAATTTTAATTCCAGTCTTGATCGACCAAGTCTGGGTTTGTGGCTGTGTAAACTCTTTTAAGACTGTTGTATGTAAATGACCTCAGTTCTGATTGGCTACCCTGTGCTGTCATTCAGAAAGCAGCCCAGGAGGACGGATATGGAGCTATGAGGCGGTTCTCCTCCAGACACACGTGCTACAACCCTATTCCTCAAACCTCGGCAGGTTCTGGGTTAGTGAAAGTGGAACGGGGGAGGACCAGCTGTGTTCTTACCTTCTTCAGAGGCAGAGAGGAAAGCCCCAGCACCCGAAACGACGAGGAGCTGCTGAGAAAAGAGAAGTCGTCCCTCTTCAGGGTTGTGAAGTCGTTCCCAGACAGGATGAGGGTCACCAGGCCGGGCAGCTGGGGCCGAGAGCCCAGGCTAGCGGAGGTCAGCTTGTTACGGGAAACGTCCAACCATGTCAGGTTCTGCCCAAATACAGCAAAGAGAGGAGATCAGAGGAATGACAAGGGATTTTGGCCAAAATTCAAATTTACACAGATTTCCCTTTACTCCCAGGGAGTGAGCAGATATCGGTCTGCTGGCTTGATAAGATCAGCACCCTGCTGACCATGTGCCACTGCGGGCCCACGTCGGACCACCTGGATTACTGTCCTGCACACTAACTGGCTTTAATATATATATATACTCACAATACAAATAACTGAGAGAGAGAACATAATGACCGTGCTCACTCTCACAAAGATGGTTCTTCAAGAGTTCTTTACAAATGTAAAAAATAAGGAAATTGGTTCTATATACAACCATAACCACTCAAAGAACCCTTTGCGTGATGAAATCATTCTTCAGCTTGACGGAGAATGTGCTGTGGTTCTATACAGCACCAGAAAGGGTTCTTCTGTTGTCAGTGTGTCAGGCTTCCCTGATAGCAAGGCGATAGTGGACCACTGCTGGCCCGCTGATGGTCCACTGGCGTTTTGTTCAGGGTTCTCCGATGTTTAAGCAGAGTATTAGACGAAATTCCCCTGATCATCACTCGTTTTCCACTCACAGTCCAGTTTACCGATTCATCCTTCGTTCCTTTCTTTAGTTCTACTTTGTAAATTAGTTTAGTAAATAACTTCAATCCAGCTCAGCTTCAGCAACGTTTACAGGAAAATCATTTTATATCAGGTCATTATTTTATTCTCACTCAGCTGTTTGTAATATTTGTCTTATTTTCTAAAATAAAAGTCCCTGTGCATTTAAAATCTGTTTGAGGAGATTAAAACTAGTTAAAGCTTGTGTGCAGGACAGTAATCTGGGTGGTCCGAGGGGGGACCAGCAGTGGCAAACAGTCAGTGGGATGCCGACCTTATCAAGCCAGCGGACCAATATGTGCTCGCTATCTGGGTTGTTACAACAGAAGAACCTTGGTGCTACATAGAACCCTTTGCAAAAAGGTTCTATATAAAACATTCTACAGCACATTCTGTATCAATCTGAAGAACCATTTAATCATGCAAAGAACCTTAATGCATTCAATCTGCATTGTCAAAGCGTTCTTCAGTTTGCTTTCAGTGTGTTTTATATGGTTCTATATAGAACCTTTTCTATATAGCACCAAAAAAGGTTCTTCTATTGTTACAGGCTTAACATCGTAACAATGGAATAACCCTTTTATGTGCTCTACAGAACCCTTTTTAAAAAAGTTCTATATAGAACCATCTACAGCACAATCTGAAGAACCTTTTCATGATGCAAGGAACCCTTTCATGATGCAAAGTGTTCTTTGAGTGTTCATGGGTTTTTAGAGAACCATGTTCTTTACTAAAGAACCCTTGAAGAACCATCTTTTTTAGGGGTGTTGTTATGCAAAATTTCAGCGTAACGTAAAGATGTTTGATACAATCTGAAAAACAAAAAATATTATATAGTGCAGCTTTAAAGGTGCAGTGTGTAAGATTGAGTGCCATCTAGTGGTGAGGTTGCAGATTGACCCTCTCTCGCTTTCGCTTGCGCTCAATAATAAGTCTGATCCTCCGTTTAGTCAATTTGGGTTCTCAAACTTCTCACAACACAAACCAGTGAGCAGCACCAGCAACAACCACTGGTTCTTCTTCTTTCTGCGTCGTCCAACCGGAGCTACAGCGCCACCAAATTCAAGCTGCTTCAACGTAAAAACACGAAAGGCGCCCTCTAGAGTCAGTGTTTGGTTTGTCTGTTCTGAGCAAGTGGAGAAACATGGCGGCGGCAGCCTCTGTTGAGGAGGAGCCGCTCGCTATGTAGATATGAAGGGCTCATTCTAAGATAACGAAAACATAATGATTCATAGTTACATAGGTGATTATACACCAATGAGAACATGGTTTATTCTGTACTCCATTGCTGCTAATAGAGCCCACTAAATTTTACATACTGCACCTTTAATGTTTTATTTTATAAAGTTCACTGTTTTTGTAAATATATGTTCATTCAGAAATTGAACTAAAACTCCATTGCTGCTCATAGAGCCCACTAAATTTTACATACGGCACCTTTAATGTTTTATTTTATAAAGTTCACTGTTTTTGTAAATATATGTTCATTCAGAAATTGAACTAAAACTCCATTGCTGCTCATAGAGCCCACTAAATTTTATATACTGTACCTTTAATGTTTTATTTTATAAAGTTCAGTGTTTTTGCAAATATATGTTCATTCAGAAATTTAACTAAAAACTCCATTGCTGCTATTAGAGCCCACTAAATTTTACACACTGTACCTTTAATGTTTTTGCAAATACATGTTCATTCAGAAATTGAACTGAAAATCTATCCATTATAAATAAATATGATTGAGCTGGATTAAACAATGCTCAGACATTTAATCAGCCATTTGTTATTGAACAGTATTGGAATTATAGCCAATCTGAACAAAGCAGATGAAGTGAAAGCATAAATTTCAACTGAGCCGTGAGCTGCAGTAACCGGTTTACCCAGCCGTTAGGCAGCACCGCTCACTACAGCAGAGCCGGTTCAGAACGTAAGGGTAAATGCTTTGCTGTTGGCGTTTGTGTCTACATTGATAGGAGTCGATAATCCTGACGTGTCTTAACTGGCTTTATTAACACCGCGGCTCCACCCAGTGATTCACACCAATCCAGTAATGTAGGTCAACGGTGTTTGTATCACACACAGAGCTGAAGTCTGCTGGACTCTGTAGAAAATAACCAGTAAACATCATAACAGGAGTCACCGCAACGAGAGCCGAGCCTGAAAACGCAGCGATGAATCAATAAAACATTATTCATTAACAATAATGCACATTTAGACCGATTTCGTTTGAAGTTTTGTGATGGGAGGGATCCTCATGAAAGGCTAATGTCGCTAACACTAGAAGTCAATAGTCACCCAAATCTTTCCCATAAATACATCCCCCGAAATCAGCATCCAGCTCTTCGTTAATGTTGTGTAGACTTGTCAATGTGGTTTAGTGCTCAATACGACTCACTGTAAACTAGTCTAATGAGAGAGAACGTCCCCTCAGATGGTTCCAGTCATCCTAGACCAGGGGTCACCAGGTCCATCCATGTGGCTGGAGGGTCTCAGTTTTGGTTGCAAATAAAAGTGTTAAATTCTTAAAACACCCAATGGAAAATTATCCAATCAAGATTCACTTCTTCGGTGTATCTGGGTAGAAACGGCCAAGGAGGCTCTACCGTTGGTTAGGACTTCAGGAGCTGGACTGAGGGTCTAACGTGTCAGACTAACCACTTACACAGTTAGGAAGACGCTGTGAAACCAACCAATCATGCTTTGATGTTTTTAGTCAGTGGGAGCAGATTTGAAAAAAAGGTTTCTATAAATATTCTGGAAGTTCTAGATACGTCACTGACTGGGAATACGAGCTGTATTTCAGTTGTTAGAAACAGAGGAAACAGCAGCAGCTCTATGGACTCTTTACTGGAGGAGTCACTGTAAAACTGATACAACAGTACAAGGCAAAATACACGTTAACGTCTTTTACACGCTTCAGCTTTTAGCTTAGAGCTAACACAGTATTAGAATCCCCATAGCAGAAATGAGCATTTTCATAGTTTTTGACCTAGTTTTGACATTTATGGCTCAAACTGAAGGCCTGGCTCCAATAATTACAGTTCAACACTTCGCTTACTCGCTAAAGAAGAAGTCTAGCCGTTCACTCACAGCACAAACCAGCAGGACTATTGTAGGTCAGTCTTAGTCGCCTCTCTGCTTAATCTCAGAGACAAATAAAGGTTAGAAATGGCCGGGTCTAAGGATGAACTAAGGTTCTAGATACACAAACCCACAGAAAACAGAATAAGTGGACGTTAATTTAAAGCAGGAGAAATATAGGCTACTGGCCCTTTAAGCTCTGGGTCAAGTTCAGCGAGCCGCTGCTCAGTGCTGGACAGCTGAGCGTCCAGCTCCTGCGTGTGCACACGTGACAGGACCTACCTTCATGACTGAGAAAGGCTCGCCGCGGAGCTTCAGCCGGTTGTCCGAAAGGTCGAGGTGGGTCAGGCTCGAGCAGTTCCTCAGGTCGCTCTCGGTCAGCTGGTGGACCTCGTTGCGCTGGACGCTGAGGCGCCGCAGGCGGGGCAGCGAGTCACACGGTCCCCGTCCCAGCGTCGTAATGGAGTTATAGCTCACGTCCAGGTGCTCCAAACCCGGGTAGCGTCCCAGGGCCGCGGGGTCCAGGGCGGTCAGCCGGTTATGGGACATGTCCAGGGAGCTGATGTTCCGGGGAAGGTCTGGAGGTACATTGTTCAGCTTCAGGTGGCTGCAGTCGGCCCTGCGCCGCTCCACCGTACATGCGGTCTTGTGCGGAGACGCGCTGCCTGGATACGGACGGAGGATTCCCACGCAAAGGAGCAGCGAGAGGGCGGAGCTTCGCAGGACCATGCTGTGACATCACAAAGAGATCAGATCTTCATGAGAAAGTGGGTAAAACCCCTTTTATATGTATTTATTACATGGTTTAATTAAGCATCTTATTAAAATAACTGTAATTAACGTTAACACTCATTAAAGGGCCCATATCAGAGAAAACCAGCCTTCTCTGTGTTAAATAGGAGTTTGATCCATCTAAACATGGTTAAAGTTTAAAAACTTCCCGGTCCGTGAGGTTAGGCTGCAAAGACCGCCTGTTCTATTCACTGTTTTGTGACGTCACAAAAACCAACACATTTACATACATCCGCCTGTGGAGCCTACAGGAGTTTAACTCCTCTACTCGCTAGGGCTGAACCTGCTTTTTTCACGAGACACAATACAGGTCAGCCAATCAGAACTGAGCTCATTTGCATGTGTCCATCTTAAAGGGGAATTCCACCATTTTTACAATTCAGTCCTTAAGTTGTAATCAGAGTGATTCAGAGTGGTTTGGTGTGAAATGGTCCAGATGTCTTTACAGTGGTGGTGATAGGAACCAGGGGTCGCCATGACTACAACACAAATATAGACATTTTATTTACTATCCAGAACCACCAGTGAACCTACACGAGTCTTCTGAGTCTATATGGAATGTTGATGATGGAAAATAGTGGAAAATCTGAAATAATACGTTTTCTCTGGGGACTATTTTGCCTCACAGCGCCCTGCATGTATCCCTCCACCATGAATGGAGTTTAAGTTCTCTAAACTATCATAAAACAGTGTCTCAGTCATCAGGCAGTGAATTCATAACCATTTCATGTAGTAACTTTCTGTGAGGGAGCTTTTAGAGGTGGACGTCTGGTTCCTATCACCACCACTGTGAACAGCTCTGACTCAGTCAGTTTCTCTAGAACAGAGCGTTTCACTCCAAACCACTCTGAACTGCTCTGTTTACATCTTAACCACTTAATTATGTGGAATTTCTAAAAAACAGTGGAGTTGTCCTTTGAAGGAAGAGTAAGAGAAAGAGCCCGTTCAATTCTGTGGATGGAAAATGGTCAAAAAAGAGGAACGGCTTTGCTTTCTAATGGGAACTGACTTCCAAGAGACCACCAGGTTCCTTTAGAGTACCATTAGGAAACCATTAAGTCCATTTAGAATCAGCCGCTGGTCACCCTGTTAAACCATTAGAATCCATTACATTGTGATATCAACCCATTAAAAAGCTAAAACACATCACGAAACCACGAAGAAGCACCAGAAACACTTATTTTCTGTGGGTTTTTATCAGCAGAGTGGATTAAAAACTACTATGAACGCAGTAAAAGCGCATACTGGCTCTTTAACGCCTTCACAGCCCCTTAGTGTTATAATGCAGCAGCGGGCAGAAATAAAGTAGCTCGGGTTTCAGCGCAGCTGTTTCTACACACTGAGCCACGCTCGATTCCTATCATATCCAGTTTATACGCCACAGCTATGACGCATTATAGCTGAAAGCGTCGCGCTGAGCGCACTTACTCGAATCTGGACGGATCCCGTGTCTCACCTGCAGCAAATCCCCCGAGAGATGTGTCGAAAGGGCGGCTCTGCTCGTCTCCTGGGCTCAGCGCGGTCGCCGCGGCGCCTCTGACGTCACCGCAAACACAAACAGACAGCGCTCGGGCTCAAATGAGCTGTGTTCGGGAAAGGGGGAATGGGGGGTCGCTGGGGGGGGTTGGAGACCCTTACAGAGCTCACATATCATCTCTAAACTCAGACCTAATCTCTAAACTCCACACCGAGCAGATCAGACAGGAAAACGCCGAGTTAGCTTCGTTTCCTTCAGCCGCTTGTTGGAATTTTCCGGTCCACCTTAAATGGCCCGAGGCGCCACAGTGTAACTGCTGCACCGTTTAAGGTGGGACGGAAAATGCCAACAAGCACCTGGCAAATGGGAAGCTAAGCTAGGCTTCGTTTGTATGTAAGCATTTCCAGGGAATCTCGCTGCTTGTGAACGTCCTCCGCGTTTGTTTACGGTTCCAGCGGTCGCCTCAAACTGGTTTCCAGTTTCTTTTCCTCCTTGGCCAGTTCCTCATTCCCACGGAGGAGGACACGGCCTCGGTGAAACGGCCTACACGCTCCACGGCTGCACCCCAGAGTCGTTTGAGCTCAACATGAATGAACTGAAACGCCTTATTGCAGAACTAGGCTGTGTTAAAGGGGAACTCCGCCAAATTTTCAAAATTTCTACATTGGTGGTGATGGGAACTCCACAACGCGACTATATCTGTTATTATTATTATTATTATTATGTACACGTGTCTTAGTTTATTATATGTAGTGGATAAATCTGGAAAAAAGGTTTTTCTTTAGGGTCTATTTCGCCTCAGGACACCCTGCAAACGCTTCTCTGCCATTAATGGACCTTAAAAAGTCTCACAGTTATCGTATCATAATAATCTTTTACACATAACATCAGTGAATTCATAACCATTTACTGTAGGAACTTTCTGTGAGGGAGCTTTTAGAGGGGGACGTCTGGTTCCTATCACCACCACTGTGAACAGCTCTGACTCAGTAAGTTTATCTAGAACAGAGCGTTTCACACCAAACCGCTCTGATTGGCTCTATTTACGTCATAACGATGTAGTTATACAGAAATTTTGAAAAAGTGGTGAACTACCCCTTTCATCCATTCCCTGCATTTAGTGTGGTATTAGAGTTCGTTTGTTTTTTGTTTTTGTTTTGTTTTGTGTTACATGTCATTTTCATACTTTCATTCATAATCGAACCTGGATTTTGAAAGTCAATTGAAAGGGCAACTCCACTGATTTTTCAAAATTAGATTTTTAAAAGGAAATAAAAAAATGAATATGGACGTTAGCTCGAATTTTGAACCCTGATCGCTCTCACTTAATATATTCGAATATTAATATGTTTGTTTCAAACAGCCACTGACCAGCAGAGGACGCTAAAGGACTCTAAGTGAAGCACAGGGCGACTCCACCAAAATATAGGAACTTAAAAAGGTTGGCATTTCTTCATTAACAGCTTGTCCTGGTGTGATGTGTTTAGGGGGTCCTGGTTCTGTAATGAAGAACACAGAGGACTCAGAATGTCTTCCTGCTCTACAGAGAACAAACTCTAACATGGCGTCTTCTGCACAGTTCAGTGCACCGTTACTGTTTATTCACAACAGGGGCATAACACAACACGGCCTGTACAGAAGTTACGGCACCCTCTATTTTCATGATTTATTTTTCTCCAATGTGTTAAACACACATTTAAGATGGCTCTTCAAGGGTTCTCTAAGAAAGACAGTGGTTCTAGATAGAACCGTGAACACTAAAGGAACCAATTTCATGCCTAAATGCTTCTCTGCATGGTGAAGTGGTTCTTTAGACTGATGAAGAATATGTGTTATGGTTCTATATAGCACTAAAAAGGGTTCTGCTATTGTTGCAATGTCAAACGTGCAACAACAGAAGAACCCTTTTTAGTGTTCTATAGAACCATATACAGCACATTCTCCATCGACCTGGAGAACCATTTCACCATGCAGAGAACCATTTAGGCATGAAATTGGTTCTATATAGAATTTATGTTTCTAAATGGAACCTTTGCCTTTACTAAAGAACCCTTGAAGAACCATCTTTTCAAAGAGTGTGTATATATATTTCTTTTCTATGTACAGTACAGCGCAGATGTTGTAGAAACCAAGAAAAAAATCTGTTTTTTTACAATTTGATGTAAAAAAAATGATAAAATTATAATTAAAATAATAATAATAATAAAATATTAAACAATTATATTTTGATATTTATTGGCTCAGAAAAATGACAACAAATGCATATTAATAGTACAGTAAGCAGTGGTCAGATTATATATATATATAATTTTTGTTAATCATTAAGTGCAGAAAACCAGATTTTATCAGTAATCTGATCAACGTGTTTACATGCACTTGACTAATCAAAGTGAAACTCCAAGTCTACATGAGTCAGACAGTAATCAGATTTCTGCTTTACAACAAGCCAATAAACTCACAGAATGCGACGTAAACGTAAAGTAAAGCTCAAACTTTACGTTGTGGCTTTTTTAAACAAACATCGCGCTTTACCTGAAAATATGAACAAACATCATCTAGAAGATGAAGAACAATTAAATCCTTTATTTCGTTTTTGGTTTCAGCGTCGCTCCAACAGTGTTTTGCTGCATCTCACGCCGACTCAGCTCACTTATTTCCGGTGCCGCCGTCTGATCTCGCGCATGCTCAGACTGAGAAATGTGAAAGAAATCAGAGTAAGAGTTCACAGCGCTGAGAAACCTGATTACTGAGCTAAAATCCAGCTTCTTTATCAGATTTCTTAATCAGATTTCTAGATCTGATTATGGTGTTTACATGACCATTTGAATAATCAGATCACTGCAGAAATCTGATTATGATCTGATTATTGAGAGCATGTAAACACACTCATTATTGTTAATCATCGCAGACGAGCCCTGTAACCATCAGAGTGCTGTCCACTGTGTGTTCCTGATGAGTTTCAGTGTTTTAGTGAATGAGGATGTTCATGTGATCCAACCAAGCTCAGTGTTTTTGGTCAGAACAGTGCAGGACACTCTCACATCACTGACTGACCACTGACTGACCACTGTGATTATAACAAACTGCAGTAGGAATTAGAGAAATGCAGTCACAGAGCAGTTTTCTGTTTATATCACACAGCTGTGGTTCAGCTTTGGGCTACACTACGGCTTACAGTCGCTTTGGCTACGAGTTCTGACCACAGAACGTCCCAGGAAACACACACACACACACACACACACACACACACACACACACACACCTTTCAAGGTCTTGTGTGCTGTCACCTAGCAACCGCAGCAGGAAGTGAGAAAGGAATGGCACCTGGAGTTTGATGAGTCACTTTCGAGCGGTTGCGGTGGCGCTCGCTGCGTGTGGGTGAGTGGGCCGGCTGATGGGCGTCGCTCTCAGCAGTTCCTGAGATTTTACTGAAGCGCTTTACGTCATCAAAGGGCAGCTTGAGTTGAGTTACACAAGAGAAGGTGGAGAAGCTGTGAGCGCCTGTTTTGTGCTAAAGCTGCACAGTATGGATCAAATACTGGTACTGAGATTATATTGATCTGTATTACAACTGTAATATGCCCTGAGGAGCCCTCAGGGCCTTCTGCACCTTCACAGATGACCTAACGATTTCATTCTGCCCTTCTTATGAAATACAGTCATGCTTGTTGTATTTATAATCTGTTGTGGTTAAACTCCATATGTGTTGGTCGGAAACGATTTTTAATTATTGAACCCGATGAAAAACTGTCTAATCAGGATTTTTTGTCTGTGCTTTCTCAGTAGATACAGCCAAGCAGGCTCTCCCCTTGGTTAGGACCTCAGGAGCTGAACTAAAGGCCTGATCAGAGTAACCCAAACACAATTAAGAACTGACAGTAGAATAAACCAATCACAGTTTGATTTACAGTGGGACCAGTTTCATGAGAAAAAACATACAGGAGAGTAAATGTTACACCAGCCAGGTTACATTTTATACCAGCCAATAAAAGAGTTGCGTGTTACATCAGCCAATAGAAGAGTTACGTGTTACACCAGCCAATAGAAGAGTTACGTGTTACACCAGCCAATAAAAGAGTTGCGTGTTACACCAGCCAATAAGAGTTGTGTTACACCAGCCAATAAAAGAGTTACGTGTTACACCAGCCAATAGAAGAGTTACGTGTTACACCAGCCAATAAAAGAGTTGCGTGTTACACCAGCCAATAAAAGAGTTACGTGTTACACCAGCCAATAGAAGAGTTACGTGTTACACCAGCCAATAAAAGAGTTGCGTGTTACACCAGCCAATAAAAGGGTTACGTGTTACACCAGCCAATAGAAGAGTTACGTGTTACACCAGCCAATAGAAGAGTTGCGTGTTACACCAGCCAATAGAAGAGTTACGTGTTACGTGTTACACCAGCCAATAGAAGAGTTACGTGTTACACCAGCCAATAGAAGAGTTACGTGTTACACCAGCCAATAAAAGAGTTGCGTGTTACACCAGCCAATAAGAGTTGTGTTACACCAGCCAATAAAAGAGTTACGTGTTACACCAGCCAATAGAAGAGTTACGTGTTACACCAGCCAATAAAAGAGTTGCGTGTTACACCAGCCAATAAAAGAGTTACGTGTTACACCAGCCAATAGAAGAGTTGCGTGTTACACCAGCCAATAAAAGAGTTACGTGTTACACCAGCCAATAGAAGAGTTACGTGTTACACCAGCCAATAAAAGAGTTGCGTGTTACACCAGCCAATAAAAGAGTTGCGTGTTACACCAGCCAATAAAAGAGTTACGTGTTACACCAGCCAATAGAAGAGTTACGTGTTACACCAGCCAATAAAAGAGTTCCGTGTTACACCAGCCAATAAAAGAGTTGCGTGTTACACCAGCCAATAAAAGAGTTGCGTGTTACACCAGCCAATAAAAGAGTTACGTGTTACACCAGCCAATAGAAGAGTTACGTGTTACACCAGCCAATAAAAGAGTTCCGTGTTACACCAGCCAATAAAAGAGTTGCGTGTTACACCAGCCAATAGAAGAGTTACGTGTTACACCAGCCAATAGAAGAGTTACGTGTTACACCAGCCAATAGAAGAGTTACGTGTTACGTGTTACACCAGCCAATAGAAGAGTTATGTGTTACACCAGCCAATAGAAGAGTTACGTGTTACACCAGCCAATAGAAGAGTTACGTGTTACACCAGCCAATAGAAGAGTTACATGTTATTTCAGCCAATAAAAATGATCCAGATTGCTTTCTTAACAGGTTAAGGACGTTTTTTCCCGTTTGTGTAAACAGTGCAGTGTAAAATCAGTGTACGTGGTCAGGGACTGTTCATTTGCTCAGAATAATAAACTAATATCACAATAAACTCCAATAACATTACTACAGTGAGTGGTGATCTGAAGTGTCGGTGTGTTTGTTCAACTGTGTCAATTTCTGTCCTCCAGGAATCCCAGCATTAATTTATCATCACACACATCATCATGTTGAAGCTTTTTCCTCTAACCTGCTCCCGAAATATCAGTTACTTTGGTGAAGAAAAGAAG